CCTGTCTCCTGCTCTTCCCAAAAACACTTTCCATATGGCCACCAGAGTTCTCCTTTTTAACTAGCTCTGATCATTTCACTAACTTCAATTTCCTGCTTAAAATCTATAGCTTCCAGGACCAGTAAGTGGCATAGTGGTTAAGGTGCTGGACTCGCACATGGTCGATCACAATTCTAGTCCTGGTCCCAGAAACTTAAAATCATGCTGGGCCCATGTGTGTTTGTACCCAAAATCCCAAAAGGAAAACGGAGAAGGGATTGTGGTGTGGCCATCCTCCTGGGGGTTGATTTCTTACTTTCTCCCTCATTATTCCTCTATCACTCTCTCTTTTTCTCTCTGGAGAGCACATGCACCCTATGGCAAAAACCTAAAAAAAAAACTATAGCTTCTTCCTACCTACAAGATAAAGTGCAACCTGTTTAGGCATGATATAAAACCCTCTTTGCCCTGGGCTGTCTCCTTACCCCTCTCCCACCTCACATTCCAGTCATACCAACTAACTGGAATGCCCTGAATATTCTGTACCTTTTTGCACTTGCACACCTTTGCACATGTAGTTCCTCAGTGAAAAAGGTCCTAAGAGACAGCCAGGTACCCTTTCAAAATTCAGGTCAAACATCAGATCCTCCATGAAGTCTTCCTGACTCAGCTCTACTCCCCACAAATATCAAGTCATCCCATTTGTTCCTACAGTGCCTCCATTACTGCACTTACATATTTTTAGAAGCTTTTTTATTCATGATTGCATGAGAGAGGGAGAAGCACCTTCAATCAGGTCTTGTCAGGCTATAATCCCTTTCCCTGGCCCCCCAGTTCATTAGGATCTTGCTCACTCACCCAACATGTTTTCACCCAGCCAGGTGACGCGAACCCAGTCAGTAAGTCATGTGGCTTTCCGCACCGCAGTTCAGTTTGCTACAGACTGTACCACCAAGCTGGGTCACTTATCACAACGCATCATAATTATTTGTTAACACATCTGTCTCCCTCCTGGACTGTGAGTTCATGAATAGTAAGAGTCATATATTATTCTTTCTTTCTCAACACTAAGTAAAATATATAGCACTTAGTGTGCCCTAAATGTTTCTTGAGGAAGAAAATGAATGAAAGTTTTTTATTAAATTAAAGCCCTTCTCTTGCTAAATATGAAGATGTGGCCTAGGGGGCCAGCAGGTGGTGTGGTGGTTGAGGCGCTGGACTCCCACATGCCCAGCCATGGTTTGAGTCCCAGACCTAGCAGCTTGCTTTCTCACTTTCTCTCTTCCTCTCGCTCTCCCTCTGTCTCTCTGATGAGTGTGCATGACCTGTAACAAATTTAAAAATAATAATAATGGTATATAAATTAAAAAAAAAAAAAGATTTGGCCTAAGTTCTCATTTAGGCCAACTAGAATGTCTTCATAGGCCTCAGCACCTGACTTATGCTAGGTGTTCATTACACATGAGCCGTACGTCACAAAACTCTTACAATCTTGTTTGCCCTCTGAACCTTCCTCCAGATCTCTATGTCCCTCTGAATTATTAAAGTTAGAACAAAGTCCAGATCCTACCTGTGCAGTAACACCTCATGTATCTAGGCATGACCAATCAGGAGAAGGCCAAGAAGCAGAAAGAGAAGACCTATAAACAGCCAAGATAGATAGTAATTTTAAAGGTAATAATAATCGAGCCTTACACTTGAGTCATGCTCTATGGTTTTCACAGAATCTCATTTCATTGTCATAGTAGCCTGGAAATAAACAGTCACTGCACCTTGCCTAAGGTCACATGGCTATCGAGCCCAGCCTCAAATACTAGGCTGGTGCCCTCCTCACACTACCAGCACTGTCTCAAACATACACCATGCATCTGTGCACAAAAGGTGCCTTTTGTGCCGGGGGTTCTGCAACTAATTACAACTGTGGTGACTTTGTGTGTATTCTTTCAAGGGTGTGCATATAAGTGGGTATGTGAGGGTTTGAGTACATCTCTGGTCCCAAAAGAGAAACAGGAAATTAACGGGAGCTGACTGGGAAAGGTAGGCCCAATGCCAGAATCAAGAAACAACAGCTGTCAGAGATGGTACAGATAGAAACCATAAAAGAATAAAATCTGAAGAACTAAAGTCAGCCAGCAGTTTGAGGTCACTGAGCAATCAAATCAAACATTCTTTCTTACTCAGTGGCCTGGGAATGCTTCACAGCCATACAAAAATCGAGATGTGGGGAACCAGCAGTTAGCGTAATGGCTATGTCGTTGGACTCCCACGTGGTCGACCACGGTTCACGTCCTGGACCCGGTGGCTTAAAACTCACACCAGGCACGTGTGCGTGCGTGCCCAAGATCCCGAGAGGAGAATGGAGGAGAAGGGATTGTGGTGTGACCATCCCCACTGGGGGGTGATTTCTCGCTTTCTGTCTCTATGTCTCTCGCTGTCAGTCTGGCGAGCGCACGCACCCTATAGTGAAAAATCTCTCCAAAAAAAAAAAAAAATTGAGATATGTGATGGTGAGCCTGAGTCACCAAAAGAAATGTCAAATTATGAAAGCAAGCAAACACGTGATTGGTTTTCAAGAAATTTCAACCAAGATGGTCAGAACGACAGAATTCTGGTGCTTAAAGGAATGCAGCCACCTTGGAACTACAACTTGGATAGAATGGCTCTTCTCTACACAAGATATGTAACTCTATGTACCCACATTTGAGGACCCCCCCCCAAGATGAATGCATCCTAAAATTAGTTTTGTGAGTAACTGAACCACCAGACCATACAAGTGATGTAAGAGAAATTACAGAGCACATTTGAGACCTCACAGGAAAACCCACTTCTTGCAACACAAGGCAGTGGCAGGCACCCTCCCTGCTCCCTGCAACTGTTGCTATGCCTGACAAACATCCCAGACACAGAGAAGCAGCCAAGTCACACACATGGACACACAAAACACAGGAAGATGACACGGGAGATAGTCAGTTCTCATACACCCATGAAAACATGGATGCTGCTGAAGTTGAGAACAGGTCAGCAGAGAAACTGAACAAGAAATGACATAAAGCAGATTGCAGAGAAATGATTCCATGATAATTGCACCTGGTGCAAAATTCCTGTGCCGCACCGCAGGAGCTGCTCGGACAGCTGTCCCTGGCACTGACAGAATGTCTGAGCCTCTTCATAGCTGGGGGGTCGGGAGAGGAGCATCTCCAAGGTCCTTGGGTCTCCCAGGCTGGAAGGGCATTTTTTGAGAGCAGAGGCACAGAGGGAGAGCTGTGGAGGGTCAACCTCTCAGAACCTCCAATGTGGTTTTGCTGAATGTACAGATTTCAATAATATTTCATTTATGAGATACAGAAAAAGTCAAGGTGGACTGAAAGGATAGTCTTAAGGATAGCCCACAGAAATACTCATGTAAATGAAAAAGGATATTCACTGAAGCATTATCCGTAAGACTGAAAAACCAGAACCAATTTACATGGCTATTAACAGAGGACTAGTTCAATAAACTACAGCATACCCTCAGAATAAATAAGGATAGCTTGAAGCATTTTTTAAAAATAATCTGTAAGTAGAAAGGAATGACACTTTGGGCGGCCTGGTGGTTAAGGTAGCTGGATCCCAGATGACTGACTGTGCAGCTGGGGTCCTGGACTGTCAGCTTGAAAAACACGCTGGGTACATGTGCGTGCATGCCCAAAGTCCCAAAAAGAGAATGGAGGAAAAGGAATTGCCATGAGGCCATCTATTAATACCTGGGGCGGGGGGG